AAAAAATGTTAATCAGTCAATCAATCAATCGCCCACCTAACTACTACATGTAAGTGGCACCAACTGCTAATCAGGCAAATCCAATGTAAACAAAGATTCCTTTATTGTCTTTTAACTTTCATACAGTTCTGAGAGTTTGGTCATGCAGGAAGACAATGTCCTCTATTGACAATTTTCCTATCTTAATTAAATATTATGTTTACCTTTAAGCTCACAACTGTATTGACAATGCAAGGAGAGATTACAGTTTGATCAAGTTTGACAATCAAGGCTCAAGAAGATAACTCACTTGCAGCATGTCCTCACTTCATCATAATCTGTCATGTCAATATCAAATACCAGTTCCTTTTCTTCAGCCTGAAAGGCTCCAGGTTTAATCATCTTGTGATCTTTTGGCTGGAAGGAAGGACAAAAAGGAAAAATGATTGTCAGTAGTAAAGGGAGTGCTATTAGCTTTTTATATAATAAAATGTATTATTCTCACATTTTATTGGTCCTTACTTAAAACTGGAGGATAGATGCATAGCTATAGATGACACCTGATGCCTGTCCATTAACATTTTTTGCCTCTTTATTATATAAAACACATAGCATTCCATGTTGTCATGTGTCTGTTCAGTCATTGATCACAGAAGACATCAAAATACAGTAAGAACACCAGTGATGGCAAAATGAAATCTATTTGTTGAGTGAGGGTTGACGAGGGTGGCAGGTGTAAGGCTGACTAAAAAAAAAACATTAGAAGATGAACCAATAATTTTTTTATACCTAGTATTTAAATTAAGTGTAGTCGTTTGTTTTATTATGTTCATATTCTTTTCATAATTTTGTAGTTTTTCTTTGTTGACCACTTTTATCACGAACCCCTGGCTCGGGAAAATAAGCTACCACTCCCTGTGTCACGACTTTAAATAAATTATTATTATTACTATTAAGTACTAATGAAAAGCAGCAATATTAACCCCTGAGGAAAAAAAATCAAAGTGTTCACATCTCCTTCATGAAAAAGCCATTTTTCTTTCAAACCTCCTTAAAGAAAAATGATGCCAATTGCACAGGAAAAAGTTCGCAGGAAAAGTCTGCATACTGTACGAGCCAAGTGACCCATCAGACTGGTGCTTATCTCCCATCTCCCATTTCTATGTAGCATGAAGCAAATAGGAGTACGGTCGAACTCCCTTAGGGACAGAGAAAAGTGGCCAGCCATTGTAGAGAGGTGGCCGTTATGGGGAGATAGAGGTGTAAATAATATACAGATTTAGGCCAGCCTAAAAGCGTAGCTCCTGGGCCAGGTCGTTCAGAGCCCGATTAAGCTAACCCAGGAAAAGGTAGAATTTTGATTTCATGCAACTTTGCGGTGAGGTTTTCTGTATATTGTTTGGCCTTCTGTTTTGAGTTTTAGTAATCACCATATACACAAAACAAAGCAGCAAAAAGCATTTGTATAGAAGAAAAAGTTATAATTCGGTTAACTTTTAATCCTGGGTTAGCGTTAAC